TGGTTGCTAGTAAGAATAACCTCGCTAGCAACGAGAACTCCATTTCACCGGCCGACTTTCTAGGGAGAAACAAATACAGCGCTCGCTATGATATTGCATGGCGCTTAGTTGCCGGACTACTTGACTTGGACGGGGCACCAAAAGAGCCAGAGAGATTCTTCAGGGCCCTAGATCGGGAACTACTTGATCTCTTAAGTGTTGCCCACCAGCGGCTTATCATACATTGCTTAAGCGAGGCTCAATCTGATTCCTTTCCACTTAGAAGCAAGCTTGAAGACCATCTATCACAGTGGCTAGTATTCCAATGCAGGTCGATTTTGGACATATGTCTAAAATACTCTCAGTTGGCAATTACCTTGGCGAGCAAGTTTGAATTTCCCGAGAAAGCCTTGACCGGCGTTCTAGAAGAGAACGAAAGGGTTAAGACGGTTGCTTTCAATTCAATGAAACAGCGTGGTCAGATACCATCTCAGATCATAGAGAGAATGATTTCACTTCTACACAGCACAGAAGATTTTCATTTACTACACTTTTTATTTGCGTTACTTTCATCCTCGAGGGACAAGTTTCCAGAAAAGGCTCTATACTCTATAGGCTCGCACCTGAAGAATCAAGATGTGACCGTGAGAGTCTCTGCCGCTCGCGCCCTACGCAGCCAGACGTTACTAGAAAAGGTTTACCGCACAATTGCAGCTTGGGTGGAGCATCCGGATACAAAACTTCCAAGCAAAATCGGCCTAGCCCTAAGCGGCCAGTCAAAGCCGAAAGAAAATTGGCTGACACTGTCGCAATGCTCAAAAGTCATAACGAGCATATCAGAGAGGTTGCTAGCGAGGTTCTAAGCTATCAATCAGATTTTCCTCCAGAAGTGATGAACTCAATAGCTGCAAACATCGAGCATTCAGAAAGGCACGTCAAAAAGGTCTCCGTAATCGCTCTACACGGACAATCAAACTTGCCGGGCAGTCTCTTACTCAATTGTTAGCGACTCTAACCGACCAAAGAGATAAGACTTCAATTTCTACCCTCCAACTTTTATCTAAGCTTTCAAATTCTTCAGATGATTTACTAAGTCGGATGATTGCGGAGACCATGAATGGATGTCACACGGCCAAAATTGATCAAATCCAAGCTTGGTGTGATTAAGTCAAGGCTATCCGAAGAAGCCCTGAACACTTTGGTAGCATTTTTGGGGCCTCCGAGGAGAATTCAAAGACGCGCAGCTATTTCACTGTTAGCTGGACAGTCAGACTTGTCAGATTCAATTCTGAGCACAATAGTGGGGCTACTTGAGGATGACATTTGGTCAGTTAGGACGAAAGCCGCCGATGCCCTAAGTCGCCGGCCGTGCTTACCAGAGGGTACCGCCTTCGAGATAGCGACCAGATTAAAGAACGACAACCCCACCAGAAAAGCTGCCCTACAAGCGTTCAAACATCAGTCCAATTCACCGAAGCGAATTCTTGACAAAAGAGCGCATCATATCGAGGATCGAGATCTTTCCATCACAACAGCCGTCATCAACGCCCTGGCCGGCCAGTCATACTTATCAGATTTGCCAGACATCCTGGACCAAATAGCTGCCTACATTGAGAATTCAGATGCCAAAGTTGCAGAAGCTGCCATGCAAGCAGTCAGAGCTAGTTGCCCATCGATTCTACCAAAGAATATCCTGAATATGGTGGTGGACCAATTTAACAATCCGGATAAAGGAGTCGGATTTGTTGCCGTTGAACTTCCTTCACGGCCTGTCGACTTGGCATGAGGAGATTTGTCACAGAATAGCGTCGCAACTCAATGATCCACAGAGTATTAGACTTGCGTCATCTAACTGGTTAATTGACAAGCTCGTGGAACGGAGAGAGTTTCATTCGAAATTCCTCGTTCGTGGCCCTATACAACGACTTTTACTCCCTCTGCTAGTGCTGAGCTTTAGGGACCAACTAGCATGGTACATCCAAGATGGCGACTCTTATCTCAAGACAGCCAATGACAGGGCTGTGTGATGGAGCCGACATAGAGGGAAAATTGAAACTGGCACGGGAAAGAGCTGGGATTCCCTCTGTGGCGGCATCATCTTCCTTCAAAAGCTTTCTCTGCTTTGGCCTTTTGATCAGCCTTCTAGATGTGGGATGGGAAGCGGCAAGCATTTGCCTGAAGTTTATGGGAAAGCTTTTCGGACATTTCTAGTGCAGAATATTCTTGCAAGTTCTCTTGAGAGGAATTGTTTTTGCACACATAATTGCTAAAATACCTGACATACACCATGGTCTTTCAGACCACGATGATAAGCTCGACCTTTGTAACTGAGCTAGGTTAAAAATTTAAAGGCAATACTACAATACCTTTTCATTTAGATAGTCAAGGCCAAAGACAGGAATATAAAAGTTTTATAGAGCTTTTCAAATAAGAAAGACATAGTGTTAAACAAGAAGGACCGATGTAAACTAATACCAAAATAAGTGTATGTTTTAAAATGAGCGCTTACTTAACTATATAACCTACTTATATGCTTATAAAGTAGTATAAAGTAGATCCTATAACTAGAATTAAATATAGGGAATAACTAGATAGGGGAAGTGTATTTCCGGCTAACATACCCCCCTATGAGCTACAACCAAATGCACAGCCAGTCCAAAACATTGAATCAACGCTTATAATTGCTTTAGTTAACTTATCCCCCCCATCCCCAACAACAATATTCATTTAAAATAGGATATTATAAAATCAATAACATCCATAGCCCACTTCGTAGAATTATTAGAATATTACTACCAAGTTTTATTTGCTCTAGCTAGGTTACGAATACTTTGATTAATCTGACGATAGCGGCTCCATAGTTTATAGCAAAAAGCAATTATTACATACCTCTCGATACTATCCACTTCTCTCCGGGTAGTACCGGGTCCACAGCCTTCCGTCTAGTTATCGAGTCCGTTACTGACTCATGTCCATGGGCCTGAGTACTTAATAAAGATCGAATCAGTAAGCCTTCTTGTTTCAATATTCAAATTTCTCTCCCTTATCAATTAACTCTCTTATCCCGGGCAGACAACAAAGCCCAAACCCACTTCTCCATACCATATTCGCACTAAACATGGTTTCTAGGTGGTGTCCTCGTCTTTCTTTCTTTCAATCTCTTTGCATTTCTCGATCTACTCTGTCTGTGCGATCCGAGTTCCTCGCATCATCCTCTTTTCAATTTGTCAATCCACGCCATCATGTAACGGGCACGGATACTGTCAGCCAGGTATTTCCAGAGTCTGTAGTAGCCGGACTCAGTGACGAGGAAGTACTAGCTTTATTCAGTCGTGGATTCTTCGGTGGCTTTATCTTCGGGTTCGAAAGAACTGCACTACGAATGGGGGCCTGGAGGTTGTTACCGGCGCGTTATACAGGTGAGAAACTTTCTGAGTTAGCTTGTTCACCTGCTAATATAGATTTATAGGCTTTAAAGATGATTCCAACGCAATAGGGATCTGGAATGCCTCCGAGCTTTCTACTCTCAACTTGCCTTCTGTGGGTAGCTGTCTTTTCGGGTCATTTAAAGTACTTGACAAGCAAATATCCCTGAAAACATCAGACCAGCACACCAGCTACATTGATTATGGCTTTGGGTCGGATGAGTTTGAATTTGCAGGTTGTCACCGTTTCCAAATTACTCGGCTACTGCCCACAAGCGGTAAGCCTCTGATGCAGCTCGAACTACAGGGCTTCCATTGCAACCCTCAGAAGAATCAACCACCCGGGACAAAATTTCTCGAATGGTTCCATTATATATATGCCAAGCTACTATTTTCAAATGGCGTCCAGTCCATTTTACTACGACAGCCTGCACTGATATAAGATGTGAAGCTTGAATTTGTCCAGGCTGCTGCTTTAAGTTCCATGAGGCATGTTTCTCTCGCTCTCTTTTCCGCTCTCCTCTCTGTCTATCTCCACTCGTCAAAAATGTATATTCTAGCTATGGAGAATCTGAAATGATTCCATGTATTCTAATTCCATGTATTCTAATCATAAAGACTACGTTCTTACCAGAATAGCAGAATTTCAGGTATCGCACAGCTGAACCAGCACTGCTCACGGTATTGATTTGAGAATGCAACTTTTATCGTTCAAGATTAAGACTTCTAGAATTCAGCTCCCAAAATTAATACAATTCTCTACAAAAAGAATGACACACTAAGAATTGGCCGTGCAGAAGAATGGGCTTAAGTACGGATGGGCGGACGGGAAGCCATGTTTTCTACACCCTATGGTCGTATGTATCAGGCTACTTGTAGGAGAGGATGATATAGGGAATCAGATAGGTGTTGGCGCGACGAAATGGATCTTGTGGGTGGTGAGGGTGAGAAACTAGGGTAGCTTGCATATCCGGGCCAGTCTAGGTACATCTACAGGCCTAATTGATAATGATTTTTGCACGACTGTTACAGTATGCAAGACTCGGCTCATTCTGAACATATCTCGATGCAATGTTTCAGCGGGATATGCTGTTTAAGACTGCTGAAGAAAAGATCACCAATTGCCTATTCTAGGTTTGTGTATTGATTGGAAAGTGGCACTGTCATGGTATCATAAGCAATATTTTCCGAATTGCCCCAGCCTCAGAATAAAGGATATATTTCCGAGTTCACTGTCATCTTGATGATACCAGGTGCATCTGTTAATGGAATAATGGGGTAGATTAAGAAAAAAAAAAGAGTGGTACATAAGAGGGTTCAGACTCGTGTATTCTATTGAAGTGTTTGCCTCGTAGGCTACTCGTCTCTAGGGTTAGGCTTTGCTCAGTGAGTAAATCAGGGCAGATGAGGGTCACTCTATCTGCTCTAAGGCGCTCTCACATGATACTCAATGGGCATTTCCTTATCACCACGTGATGCGATAAACCGTTGGCGACGTCATCTTAGAGCGTCAGCCTCTTATGACAGCTCCGCTGGGTTCTTCAAGATTATTCAGAAATCCATATTTCATGTACTTCATTTGCACCCATTTTCAAAATGTCCGCTCTACCATGCATCCGCTCTGCGCGTGGCTCCTCACTTCTCCGCCTTGGAGCTCTTCAATCGCACCACGTCAATCGGCCCTCCGTACAGCGACTGCATCCGGTCTTTCGCTCTATGCGCAGCCTATCCAGCTCTAGAAAAGTACGAAATAACCCTATCTCCTGCCATCTGTCATTGTCTTTCCGATCATCAATTCCCAAACATACAGCCAGGACCTACGCCGACCAAAAAGGATCCACAGGCAAAGCTGAAGCCGATCTCCTGGTCGAGGAATTACAAGAGCTGTATGAAGTTGCCAAAGACGAGTTTGAAATTGCCACCGAGAGCACGGACTCGTCTACCATCTACGCTGCTTCGGACCGCGAGTCTGCCCGCGATGCTCTCAACCAGTTGTCCGCTGTGTACGGCCTCTACACTGCTCGCCCTGGGGAAGTCGAGAATGAGACAGATGAGTCGCTGTCTGAGGCAGAGGAATCGGGGGAGAGTGCTATTGTCGAGACCCAATATAATCCGGCGGAGATCCCGCAGGGTGTTAAGGACGAGGTGCGTCGGCGTGTTGGGCATCGGATTCGGGAGTTGAAGAATGCTGTTGAGGCGCTTGAGGAGAGGGCTACGGAAGATTGAGCATATTTTGCTGCATGGCTGTTCAAACTTTGGTCTATCGCTATTGAGGTGCAACGATGATATGGGTTCCATATCTGGATGCGGCAATTGTATATTTTAAGGTCTAACTGGTGCTTTTGTATGTTGTGGTCCACGCCACAAAGAAATAAAGTCATTATCCATCTTGAGTCTGCAAGATTCATTTTTCCTAGCCGCAAATATCATACCTGACATGCAATTGCATAAAAGCAAATCATAACATAATAAGACCACATAGGAAATAGACTGCCTGGGCCAATCAAAGATTGGATCGGGTCAGGCTGTAAGAAAATAAATCAATTAAATCATTGGGGTAGAGTCCCAGCAAGATCAAGAGCAAGTGGTATCAAGCTTTTTGGTGGTCCTCGAAAATCCGAAAACGCCAGAAACAAAGTGTTTCTTAACCATTCATATACGCCAGGCGGCAAGTAGCGCCTGAATCCGCTGGATCGTAAGACATGACAATTGCATACGATGATGCATTCAAAGGGTGTAGTTCATTATACGAGAGTGAAGGGGGTCATAGTGAAGTGGTCGGGGCTCGGTGATGGGAGTGACGAGGAAGGTTCTTGTTTGTGCGTTGTCCTCTGGTGGCGCTTCAATTGGTCTATAGATAATGATGTTAGCATACAGGCGAGTTAAAAAAAGGGTCGGATCACTTACCAGGACGTGTAAAGCTCTTGGTGCACCCTGGGAAATGGCATTTATGTCTTCGCTCTCCATGAGCTAGATGAAGTCAGTAAAATATGGTAAACGTCCGAAATGCATGGAGTATCATACTAAGCCGGTGACTAGACATATTGGAAGACTGGTTCAATGTCAGAACATGAGCGGGAATGCCAGATGGAGATAGAGGAACTTACGTCGCCCGTGGTGAAGTTGCATCCTGGCCAGGTGCACTTGAAAGGCTTTTCGCCAGTGTGGGTTCGCGAGTGTGTTTCTGAGATAGTTAGCGGTGGATTCTACAAGGAATTTCAGGGCGACGTACTCAATTCACTGCTATCGGTAAATGATTTACCGCAGTGTTTGCATGTGTATGGTTTGTCGCCGCGATGACTGCGCTCATGTCGGTCCAACGTCGCTTGCCTAGCAAACGCCTTGCCACAAACCGAGCATGTAAAATTCTTATCTGTAAAGATGCCATTCGTGTCAGTACAGTTGTCCATCGATGGCTAGAGAGATAATAGATATGACGCACAGTTACTGTGTGTGAGGAAATGGCCTTGAAGCTTGGACTTCTGCGAGAAGGGCTCGTCCGGACGATGGCATCCTTCCCAGCAACAGTAGTACCCATTTCCCTTGGCACCGTTCACGGTATTCATATGAGTGGCAACGAGGTGCTCCTGAAGAGAACCACAATCGGCAAAAGTAGCACCGCAAGCAGCCTTGATTCCATGAATCTCCGTTGCCCACTTGCAGATATGCAGCTTACTGTCATCTGGAGAAAAGTCCGGGGTGGTAAGCACGGATGAGGTGTCACCTTCGAGAGGTGGTGGGGTTTCTCCTGGACTGGAAAGGAGGTGAGAGCTGATGCTCGAGCGAGACTGTCGTGAATAAGGGGAATACGGGTGAGAATGAGCATGGGTGTGAACTCGGCAGCGATGATGGTTGCGGTGAGGTCCTTTGCGGGTAGCTTGCAGGTTGAAATCATTGGGGTTTTTGAAATGGCTGTGGACATGATGGTGTTCAGGATGGAAGCAATTGAATGCATTTGATGTGTCGACTTTGGGTTTGTCGAAGGTATTGAGATCATTCTGAGGCGCAGGTACGTGTTGATCTTGGCATACCGAGAAGTCGGAACACATACCAAGCATGTGGAAAACCTCAGCCGGGTTGACTTCGGCCTGCGTGGGAACAGCAGGCGCGCCGAACATGCCTTGCCAGTCTTTCTGGAAATCATGGCACTCGAAATGGTTGGATACGTCCTGCTCGCAGTGGGTGGCATGCGTTTGGTATGAGGATAGGAAGTTTTCCTGTTGAAATGGATCGGCGAAACCAGGGATAGGATGCTGCATGGCTTTTGTCGCGTGGCCAACGGAATGATTTCCCATTGCCATGGAAGGGAAAACTCCCGTGTCTAGAGCGAGTGGGTTGTTGAGTGCAAACAGAGCGTCAAAGCCGCAATCTTGACTTGTGGTACCGTCGCGGCAGTGGTCTTCGAAGCACAGAGGGTCAATACTTTCACAGTGGGTGTCCTGGCAGTTGACCTCTTCGCAATGGTTGGTATCACAATGAGTATCGTCGCAATGATTGTCGTCGCAGTTATCGTCGCAGTTGTCATCATCGCAGTGAGTAACTGAGCAGACAGTGGAAGTGTTACAGCCCGTAAAGCCGCCACAGATGGACCCGCAGTCTAGCGCACAGTCGTCTACATCACAGCAGGCCTCATCGACCTCACAATGGGGCAGCGGTTTCTGGGCTTCATGACTTGAACAGTTCAAATGATGTTGAAGAGCATTACCCGGGGGACCGACCGTAGCCTTGCCATCTATGTGGAAAGCTTCCCAGTTGCATTCAAGGCAGAAATCGCCTTGTTGGGTTTGGGATACCATGGTGCACGGTTCACTTCAGATAAGGGAGGGAATGTGTTGGGTCTCAAAATCGAATCGGGTTTTCCAGGAACGATGTCGTCACAACAGCGTGTACGACGGACGATATGGGGAAGATGCAGTCGAGGAACCGAGCAGTGTGCGACCGTAAATGGAACAGTGAAGGCCTGTCAGGTACGATATCCCACTACAAAATCACGAATCCACAAGTCCAATCGCCACCAGTGCGTGCGCCGTCCCAGGACAGTTTAGGTTGTAGTACCCGAATAATATCCTCTCACAGTGCGGATAGTTTCGCAATCGTGTCATGCGCTTGGACTGGACTGGTTGAGAAACAGGCGCAATCGGAGAATTGACCGAGATCGACGTGCAGGAAGAGCAAAAAGGAGGACCTTGGAGACACAGAAGATGCAGGATCAAACCCAAAGGATTTTGAGAAGATCAGGGGACATAACCTGGTGACGACTGGGACCCCTCAGTGTTGTCGTGAGGACCTTCGGGACGTGGGAGAGGATGAGGACCTTGGGGGTGAGGCGTCATGATTTTCGAGCGAATCGCAGAGCGTGGTTTGGCCAGCAACTTTGGGGAATCTTGGGATATGATATGGAGTCAAGAACTGCAGGGAATAGAGACCTGAGAACAGTCCAAACTGGAAAATGTTCCCCAGCATTCCGATGAAGAATTCTTTTCCCCGCGGAGATGATTTCCCTCGAAGATCCTGACTAAGCTCTATTCTGCCACTCTGGTCCGACCTGCCTTACCAACCTAATCGGGTAGTTTGCCTGCAGTTTGCATCCGGTGCATAGGAGAAAGTTCAATGTTGAGTCAATTGGTAAAATATATGAGCTGAACGACATATTTACCTTCAATGCATCCTACTGAGCCCAAATACTCAGCTCAACTTACTGAAATCAGTTGTAGTCGCTGTTCACCGCCTTTGCCCCGGATCGACTATCAGCTTATCGCAATGCTCCCAACATCCACTTGCGATGACGCGCCAACAACAACGCTAACAACGTATTACTTGAGCTATAGCAAGCGTAGCACTTGCTGAACCTATGCTAGAGGGACACCCTACATTCAATTGGTCTCTCAAAAATCAACCTTGCACCGTAACTGGCCTCGGGCTCTAGTCAACGACTGTTCCCTATCCTGTATCCTGCGCCGAACCCAGACTAACCGCAACGAACCCTCCGATCCCGGCCGCTCACCACACATTTAAAATGGGCAACATTTGCTCCCGCTCTTCCAATGAGCCAGACCCCTTCAACCAACCGGGCCGTGTGGTCGGCACCACCTCAGGGAGAACTGCCGCACCCCGCGCCCCACTTCCGGGCAAGACAAACTGGAAGTCTACACCCGGCCGCACTCTGGGTGAGAGCACTGCAGTTGGTAGTACTGGTGGAACGGACGAGGCACGTGCAAATGCTGCAATTGCGGCACAGGTAGGACAGCTCGTTTCCCGCGAACATATGCTGTGCAGGGCTACGATTGCTGACTTGTGTGTGTTACAGAAACGTGCTGAAGGCGCCTCTGCCAATAAAGGGAAATTGGGCTCAAAGCTGGCTGCACAGAAGGCACAGACTCAGGCGCAGACATTAAATCAAGTCAGTCGCACTGAGAGGGCTGCACGAGATGTAGATGGGGTTGAGGCTGCAAGGAGATGGGAATAGGCATACCCATGCGATGTTTTGATTTGACCATGACTGCTATTATTAGAGATTTGTTTGTTGGCGTTGTATCTGCGGGCTTGTTGTGTCTCCTTATAACGTATGTTTCGTTTTTGTTGCAGTTCATTGACTTGTTGTTTGTCAGCGGAATGGTGGGATCAAGCTTCCCTTTTATAGTTTAAATGTGTGATGGTACTGGCTGGTCTCAAGAGGTACTCCGATTAACCGATGGTTCTCCAATTCCAATACCGGATGAGAGTAACCATGAATAGACTCTTTAACTTCGGCTTCTACAAGAATCAACACATGCCAAGGATATCGTACAATCGTTGACCTATTGAAGATGTATTTTGGAGCCTTACTATGAACTAAAGAATGACCTAAAGAACATTGTAGCGGCCACCCACTGGGGCGCGCGCCTCGCCCTCTGAGGCTGCCAGTGTTGCGTCCTTAAGTAGGCGTCTAAGCTCATGGATGGCGGTGGTGACTGAAATCTCCGTCTCACCCTCAACCAGAATGTACAGCTTGGGAAGCTCCCCGGGGCCGGGTTCCTTCCCGGCTGCGTAGAAATTGCCCTTGGTGGTGATGGAGGTTCCGGATGCTTCCAGGATCTTTGCCACGTTCGTGCGGTTTGT